GCTAAGAGAAAACTAAATTGATATGAAATATCTTAAAAAGGCCAGCACATGGTTGTTTTTGACTATCCTTAATGTTCTAAAAGGGTGACTTTTTCTTTTCGAAGTTAGTTCTAAAGTTGTAAAAATCATGTTTTAACTCATAAAATCATATGAGTTTATGAGTCAAAATATATTTTACATGCTGAATCGTTTGAAAAAATCATAATGGGTGAAATCAGGTTGAAATTGACTGAAATCGTTAAAATCAGGTGAAATCGTAAAAAATAACGAGTTCAAGACTGACTGAATAATTTCACCAAAACACATAAATTTAAGTAAATGTTTCCTTCCATGCTCTAGCTATCCAGCGCCTATTGGCTAGGTAAATACACAGTCACTTCAAAGTCCAATCTTCATTTCAGTTATCAGTGCATCATCGCCTTTCTTCTTTTTCAATAAGAATAAATCCCTAATCTCCTTATGTATTAACCAATCAGCAACCACAAAAGTGGTTTTCTTTGTTTTCACTCCAGTCATCAATTTATTCTTCACTCCAGTCATCAGTCTAGTCTACACTCAGTTATCAATGCTGATGACTTTCTTTTCATCAACAGTAGCAAATATCTCCTTTCTTGCCCATCATCAATAACTCATGGCTTCCTCTTCATCAATAGCGGTAGGTAACATCGCTCTCCTCTTTAGCCTTCATCATCAACGACTTCCTCTTCACCGTAAGTTGTTCCTCGGTACCTTGGTGATTGCCTATGATGTAATATTCTCCTGTAGGCCTATACAGAGTCAAAATATGCAAATGTAATATTCCCCTCTACAGATGTTGAATGTTGATTTTACTAGTCCTGATTGCTCATGATTTTGAATAACAATTTATTCCTTTATAATGTTTTGCTTAATATAATTATTTTAGAATGATGATTTTTCTAATCCTGATTGGTTTGTGTTTGTGGTGTTGGTAATATATAAAACCCTTGTGAAATGTAAATTTCTGCATACCTGGGTGTTGCAACGAATGGTAGTGGTAGTGGTGTCTGCGGTCTGTCTATCTAATGTGAGTTGAGTTCGTTTAGAATAATAATTTTCCAGTAATTCACATTTCAGGATAATAGAATGTGTCTGGCTAATTACTCTATGTCTGTGGTGTTATTAATAGAATGATGAAATGATTTTATGATGCTATTTTAGTATGCAGGGTTCCTTCATTAAAGCAGATTGATTTTCAATCTAGGTAGTGATATATTTTGGAAAAAATCAAAAGTTTAATTATATAGAATGGCAAAGTATTATTCAATATATATGCTACTTGATTTTGATATCTTGTCTGCAAAATTTATATTAAATTACTATAGAAAAAAATTTAATTGTATACTATATGTACTGAAGTAGATTGGAAGTATTATAGTTTTGTGAATGGTTATACATATAAATTTTTTTAATTATAATCATAAAATGTTTGGATTGATTAAAGGGCTGATTTGAGTTGATTTTTGAATTGTTGAACTTATGGCATCTAGAAAAAATTCTTTTGGTAATAGAATTGATGTGGGATGACAATATGATATAAATATTGATAAAAATTCTAGAAAAGTTCAGTGCAAATATTATTAAAAAATTATCAGTAGAGGTATTTTTCATTTCAAATAATACTTTGCTTGAACTTGTAAGGATGTTGAGCCATGTCAGCAAATTTTAGAAAATGTTAAGCAAATAATTTTAGTTATTTTGGCGAAAAATTTAGAAGCAACTGAAAAGAAAAGAAAGGCCCATCAATATAGTGGAAATGATGATGATGATGAAATAAAAGAAATTAGCTCAAAGAACAAAGAAAAGAAAGCAGCCAGTAGGAGTGGAAGTACACTAATAACCCTAAATCAATTGCTAAAAAAGGGTATTAGAGAAGAAACATGTCAATAAATTGCAAGGTTTTTCTATAGTAGTGCAATTCCATTTAATTGCATAAAAACCATGGGTTTCTAAAAGCACTTGAATTAATTATATAGCATGGGTCATGTTTCAAGTCTCCATCTTGTCATGATATTAGAAGAAGTATTTGAAGCAGGAAGTGGATCAAACAATGAAATTGCTTAAGGAGTACAAGCTATAATGAAAAAAAAAAAAAACAGGTTTAATAATGTATGATGGATATACAAATAAAAAAAGACGTTGTATTTGTAACTTTTTGGTTAATAGTCCTAAAGGGATAATTTTTTTGTCATTGGTGGATATTTCTAATATGTCCAAGACTGCTGATAAGGTATTTGAGATGTTAGATGCTATTGTAGAGAGGATTGAGGAGGAAAATACTGTCTAAGTAGTCACTGATAATGCTGCAAATTATAAAACAGTAGGACAATTATTGATGGAAAACAAAAGGAGTTTATTTTGGATACTAAGTGCTGCCCATTATATTGACTTTATATTAGAAGATTTTGAGAAAACGTTGGAGGTTCATTAAGTAACTATTGTTAAGGGGAGGAGAATCACCTCATATATTTATTCAAAAACTATTCTTATTTCTATGCTAAGACACTTTATGAAAGGAAGAGATTTGATTAGGCTTGCTGTTATTTGGTTTGCTACTGCATATTTGACTTTAGGATGTTTGAATGATCATAAAATACAGCTGATGACTATGTTTACTTTCAAATAGTGGAGTTCATGTAAGTTTGTGCAAAAATATAAGAAAGGAAACGAATTCAAAATTGTGTTTTAGACAACAGGTTTTGACATGATGTTACTATATATATATTAATACAACGTATTCTTTAATTAAAGTTCTTTGATTAGTTGATTCTCATGAGAAACCATCTATAAGTTTTATATATAAAGCAATAGGTGAAACAAAAGAAAAGATACAAGTGAATTTTGATTCTATGAAAAAAAGGTATATATCTTGCTAATTTTTATTTCAAATATTATCATCTATTGATATGAATGTCTTTAGAGATACTTTTAATTGAGATATTCCTAGATTGTAATGATATTTTTATTATTTTTTTATATAGTTATATACCTATATAGAATGTTGTTGATGTAAGATTGAAACTTTAACTCCATAGGCCTTTACATGCAGCAAATTATTATTTCAATCCTCATTATCCTTATAATCTTAATTTTAAGGTTAATGCCAATATTAAAATTGGATTATATCAATGCTTAAAAAAAATGGTGTCTAGTGCAATTGAAAGGTGCAAGATTGACTTGCAAATTGAATAATTCAAGAATGCAAAAGGGTTGTTTGACTTTGAGGCTGCCAAGACAACAAGAGATTAAAAAACTCCAGCTCAATGGTGAGATTCTTATGGGGATGAATTTTCAGAATTACAAAAGTTTACAATCCGAGTTCTAAGCTTGAGTTGTACTTCATCTGGAAGTGAGCATAATTAGAATGTATTTGAAATGATAAGTTGTTTTATATTTTAAATGTTAAAATATTTGATAAAAATCTTATAAATTTAAATTGTTTATTTAGGTTTATACAAATCAAAGAAATTGCTTACACCAGAGAAAAATAAATGATTTGTTATTTATAATGTGCAATCTGAAATTTAATGATAACCAAGTTAAAAAGCAAGTTGATGATTTTGGTGTAGAAGATAATCTTTTATTTGATGATGATTAGATAATCAAAAGGGAGAAAAACATTCAAAAATTGATTTGCTTAATACTATTTACAGTGCAACACGAAGAAAAAATGGTAAAGAAAATGAAAGTAATAAAAAAGAAATTCCTAATGATACTAAAATGGAGAGTTATGGCACTCAAGATGATTTGAAAATTTAAATTAAGGAGAATTTAAAGAATTTAAGAAGTTTTGAGTTAAATAACATTAATAATATTGGCATTAATACTAGTAGTATCATTAATGTTTATAATATTGATGTTAGTATTAATAGTGACACTAATAATACTCTTTATGCTAATAATATTAATGAATATCTGAATAACAATGAGAAAAATAAAAACAAAAAAGATAGTTTTAGTTTATATTATATACCAGCAGATTATTTATTTTAATTTTATTAATTATTAGTTAATTAAAAGTTAATTAAATTATATATGAGTTTTTATTTAAATTATATATTTTAAAATGTTTGAATTATATATAAAATTTTATTTAAAATATATATTTTAAGGTTTCAACTATATATAAATTTTTATATAAAATATAATTTTTTTTAATATATTTTATGATTTTTTTATAATTTTATGATTTTTTTATTTAATTTTTTTATAATTTTATGATTTTTTTATTCGAGTATATTATTTTACCGAGTTAAAAATACGTTTTTAACATCGTTGGCCTGTCCCATCCCTTCGCGTAAGACTGCTGTGGAAAATTACATCACTCGGTACCCCTCGTCTGTACAGATTCCTGTCAGGCTCTCTTTAGTCTACATCACCGTTGGTTTTCCAGACAGGTTAATTTTGCTTTATTAACTTTTTAGGTGAATCTTGCTTACAGTTTAAGGGGGGAGAAAGCAACACTGACACGTGTCTATAAAGCAAGTCAAAGAGGCTGTTTGTTATTGCTTACTAGCTGTGTTTTTAAAAACTATAAATCGTTTAGTGTTTTTAAATTGTTCGTTTGATGTAACGAGGTTAAAAAATTAAAATTTATTTTTGATATATTTTTAAATAAAAATATTTTTAAAAATAATTACTCCTATAATATTAAATATTATCGATGAACCCACGATTTTAAAACCATGAAAAGTCGGTGGGAGCATGCGGCGCAATTTAAGAACGGCGAAGATGAGATCCAAATCGTCCGGGAAACGAGCCGTTTAGGACTCGAAAATCAGGTTCCTCGTCCTGGTTCTTACCTTGCATGGTGGCAGCTGACCCGGATCCAGTTAAAAGTCACAAACAATAACTGAAACCAGACCCACTTAATTAACAATCCGACTGGCTACCCGCATTCCCTGTTTTTAACGCGGAGTTGGGACTCGGTTTTTTCTCTTATAACCGGCTCAAGCAGAACCGGCTACAGTGTCGGAGATTTTTTTAATAAGAAGAGAGAGCGAAGTGGGGGCAGTTATATATAAGAGAAAGGATGACCTCTCCTTTCCTCCTTCCTGAAAAGTGATGTTACGGCTCGTGCTTCCCGTTTCAGCTTCTCCCCGGATTTCTTCTCCGGGTTTCCAACAGAGATTCTGCTCATCAAATCCATTGTAAGCTCTTGCAAAATATCTCTCTTGAACTTGCCATCGTTTCTTGGATCTCACTTCCATTTTGTCGTGGCTTTTCGTGCCGTTTGGCAGCTTTTTTGAATTCCGTTTTCCGATCCGGTTTGCATGGAAAGTAATGATTGGTTGCCGGGATTCACACTTTTATATGCATTTTTTTTTCCCATTTTGACTGATTTATTTTGTACTCCTTGTTTATTTCCAGGTTCGAGTGAATTAAAAAGAGGGAGAAAGAAAGCAGACTTTAACCAGCTGCTGTAGCAGAAGATCCACGGGGATTGGATTTCTTCTATTTTTCTAAGCTTCTTTTTAGCCTTTCTCAGACAAAGAAAGAAAAATAAAATGGGAGTGAAAGTTGCTACGACGACTTTTTTTCACTGGTCGCAGCCAATTATTCATCATTCACCATCTTCCTCTCAAGCACTAGCCCCCGCAGTTGCATCTCCATCTTCAAAACGACAGCGTGGTTTCGATGGAGCTGGAGGTGGAATGCTCGTATGTAGATACGTACAGAGACTAAGCCGACGGGCTCTGTTGGGAAGTCCATTCACAACAAAGTTACAGAGAGCTCGTTCTTGCGGGTCTCAGAAACCAAGAGGTCAGACTACAATAAGAGCTAGCAGTGCTAGCTTGGATGCCTTTTCTGACGAAGAATTTTCCAAGAAAATACAAGAATTGGCTCGCAGATTCCGGCTTTCTGACGATGATGACGATAGCGGTGACGCGGTAGATTCGGAATCAGAGATTCTTTCTGATTCTGGAGACAACCTTGGCGGTATTAATGGCGGGGGCATTTATAATAACTGTAGCAGTGATGATTCTTCAAATTTAGTGCAGGATAAAAGGCAGTTTCCTTTGGATTCGTTAGTGAAGCCTCAATGGCCAGAAATCCGGCAAGAGCCACCGGATTGGTCAGGGAGGGATGATATAATTCCAGCAAGTATCGAACGGAAGGCGAATAGTGTTGATATTCCGCTTTCGCTTCGAATGATAAAGAGAAAGATGCAATGGCAAGAAGGGTTTAGAGAAGCAGGGGAATCTGCTTATTGTTCAGTGAAGAAGGCGTTTTCTTCTATGGTGTTCATAATTCGAGAACTTCATAGTCATAGTTTGCAAATGAGAGAGTTTCTATTCACTGAAGATTTACAAGGGATTCTTGCTGGTGTACAACAAGAAATGCATGCTTCTTTCGTTTGGTTGTTTCAGCAAGTGTTTTCGCGTACACCTACACTTATGGTGTATGTGATGATTCTCCTTGCAAACTTTACTGTACATTCCATGGCCAATAACACAGCAATTGCAGCTCCACCGAATACAGGGTCTTACGCAGCCACAACAGAAAGTGTATCTGTTGTTGAAAATCTAGACCAGAAGAATCAGAAGTTTTATTCTTCATCAGTAAAGACGTTTTCGGTACCATCATCAAGTGGTAAAACAACTTCAATTGGGGGCAATAATGGCGGTGGTGGAAAGGTCCGGCCAGTCGCCAGTGGCACTGAAGGCGATGGATCGTTCGACCAGTCGAGCCAATTTAGAACAATAGTCCCTGATGGGGCTTCTCAGCTGTCATCTTTAGGGACATCAAGAGAGGCAGAGTCGGTATCAGAGCAAGTGAGTGGAGCAGAGGAGTTGAGTCTATGGAATTCAATTATAGATGAAGCTTCAAAAATACAGTCTTCATTGAGAGATGTATCTCTTGATCATGAGACCACACATAGATTTGTTTCGCCTATTAGCGCGAAGATTGAGGCAGATGATTATGAAGATTATTTTAGAACAGATTTACTATATCAAACTGGATTGTCTCAAGACCCTAACAATCCTCTCCTCCTTGCCAATTACGCTCAATTCCTCTACATGGTTGCCCACGATTACGACAGGTAAAAATCTACACTATCTCTGCCTTCTATTTCTTAATTATTGTTAATAATAACTACTCCCAAGATTCTAGGTGCCATGTTCACGTATTAAGCAAAAATCTGTCAAGTTAGATGAAATGATTTCAACAAGTTGGGCACTCGGTTTGTCGTGAGAGAAAATCATGTCAAGCACCGAGTCAGAATATCTCCTAGGTTTATTCGCCAACGTTTTTCATAACTATGTATGGCTGCTTTAGATTTTGACTTGTCGTTTTGTAACCTTTCCTGTTCGGTTTTGTTTCTGAATCCTGATAGGGTAATGTGTGGTGTGGTTTCCTTTCATGCCAAAACATCATCTTCAACTTGCGTCGAGCTTAGTCTGTTGACTGCCATTTTTGCTGTTTATATAAATATTTATGAGCTTGATCTTTTGTTAAGTTAGACCTTTTACACTATCGAGTGAAGAAATTGGTTGACTAATAACTAACCCTTTTCTTTATGTGTGAATTAACAGAGCAGAGGATTACTTCAAGAGAGCAATAGGGGTGGAGCCACGAGATGCAGAGGCATATAGCAAGTATGCAAGCTTTCTATGGCATGTGAAAAAGGACTTGTGGGCAGCCGAGGAGACTTTCTTGGAAGCCATTTCTGCTGACCCTACAAGCTCTTATTATGCTGCTAATTATGCTCATTTTCTCTGGAACACTGGTGGTGAGGACACTTGTTTCCCTCTTGGCTCCCCAGATAATGCCCGAGAGGTGTAAAAGGCTAAACAAGGGGTAAAAAATCAATCGAAGAGATTAAAATCCCCTTCGTTTCCACTTCTTGACGTAATAAAAAGTTGCATAGTGATAATGTTGACAACCGTATCTGCCAGAAATAGAAAGAAAAGAAAATGAGATTTTTTTCTTTAGGGAATCTTTCGGAGTACACGTGTTTCGGTGGTGCGTGTGGGTGGTGGGCCGGTGGTGTTTGGAAGATGGGATTCACGTGACCTTTTGGAGGATTAATCGGCAATTTGCACTCGTACATGGCAACAGCAGCCGAGGGCAATTGAAGGAGGGGGTAGTTCCGGCATTTAGTTTTGCACAGTTGAAGAAAGTGTAATTATTCCATCTTCAATAATCATTGTATGCCATTTTTAATTTCGATACAGTAATTAAGGTGATGAACATCAATATAAATAAGTTTCTCAATTCCCCTCGTGCGATGTTGACGCCACAGTTCTTCATATGCAGTGGCCTGAGATGCCGTCTAGAAATTTGTTCTCGCCGTCTAGTTTCTTATATGAACTACTTGGTTATAACTTAGTGTTTGCACATCCAAAATCGCCGTAAAATTAATCTGCCTGAAGATCAAGGACTGTATGAACTTCTTGCTCAGGCAGCTTATTATATGATGTGGTTTCCATACATGATCAAGGACTAACGTATTGATCACAGGCAACAGCGGTGCTTAAACGGTGCAAAATGCAAATCCGCTCTCCTATTCGGTGGTGAATTAGAACCCTCGTCGCATAATGATTTTTTCTTGCGGTGTTTACAGAGCATGGATGCTGACTTCTGTTTCGTGCAAGAATGTGCAGTAACAGGAGAAAGGTGACTGCAGATGGCTTTCATGCATCGGTGACGACGGCATATTTATTCTCTACCTAAGCTTTCAGTTGATGGATCCCGTCAAGCATATCAACCCAACTGAGTAAGTGCAGCAGGAATTATACATGAAAGCACATGCAAATGTTGAAATAATGGTGTTTAAATTATTGTTGGCAATTTGTAATGTTGTTCTTGTCGTAGCTTATTTATTAATATTGTATTTTAATTTGTTATTCCTAGCAGAAGCTATACCGCTGCAATTCACAGCTCTTCTGGACTCACCTTTGATGCCCACATCAAATGGGAAATTTGATTGAACAAGAGCAATAGTCAAACTTCAAAATCAAACATACCGAATGCAATGGATACAATGGGTCCGTGGGATTGAAATGGTCCAAACACAAAGTGTCAGCTTTTCACGTGAAGTGATGAAGTACTCTTATCTCTTCTCATCTACAATGTTGAAGTCCAGGGGCCCAAAAGACATTCTTTCATATGTTTTCATGATAAATCAAGAATAACTCCTTTTTTTCTTCTTTCCATTTTAGATCTCAATTAGATAGCTTGCGGGCTGGCTTAAATTTTTTTCAAAAAAAAAAAAAAAGAAACCTAAGATGATGTAAGCATTAAAAGCTAAAAACATTAGAGACTTCTATTATTAATTTGATTAAGTTTAATAATTTTAACCTATTTAAATAATATAAATAAAAAATTGCAATGATAATAAATGAATTGTTAAGAAAATTAATGATGAAAAAAAAAAGTCCACCACAATTGGTATGTCAAATCCATGATCTGATCATGATATCAGAGTAATCTCATCGAAAGCTAACTGGATAAAATCATGGAGTTTAATTATAAAACAATCTAATATTTAAGGCTGAAATAGAGAAAATAAAATAAAATAAAAAACAAGAAAATAAATTTGTGTTAACCTGAATTAATTTTCCAAACACATGAAAAGAAAAGCCAAAAAAAAACATGAAGACTAAATTTTAATAAATCAACTGTTCGAGGATGAAATTGAAAAAACCAATTAAAAAAATCTAAAAAAACAAAAGTCAACCGAAATTCAACCATTGATCTAACGACTACATGCACGGTGCTGTTAGAAAGAACATGGTGAAAGGATTCCAACTCCTCTTTGGAAAGTGGTGTTTGGACAGTAGATGATGTACATGAGAGTAATCCAAATACCGACCAACTTTTTGTAAATTAATATTTAAATTATTCAAAAGACCAAATCACCCTTGACTTAGTATGTTAATTACAAAAAAAAAACCCAACTTGAAAAGAAAATACCCCGTGTTGCAAGGTTTAAGATTTTTGCCTTAAAGGGTATGGGAGTCTTATAAGCATGTTAATCGCATCTCATAATACTATAAGCACAAGACATGTTGTTTATTCCGAATGATAGTCGACTTATCACCCATAGATAATTAGATAATGAAATTTGCTTAATAGCTAGTAGATAATTTAATATTTATAAATCGATTTAAATTAATTGGATTATTAAATTTGATTGATCTAATTAGAGTTAAGAGAGCTACACCATTTTAGTGAGATTGATTTGTTCCTTAAGAAAGTGTTTGGCAGAATGGCAATAATTGCTTTTTAAAATGTTTTTCATTTAAAAATATATTAAAATAATATTTTTTATTTATTTTTAAAAAGTTATTTTTTAATACCAGTACATCAAAATGATATAAAAATATAAAAAAATTCAAATTCCAACAAAACATAGGTTAAACCACCTAGCCAAACATTCCAATAAAACATAGGTTAAACCACCTAGCCAAACACGATATAAAAATATAAAAAAATTTAAAAAAATTCAAATTCCAATAAAACATAGGTTAAACCACCTAGCCAAACATCCCTTAATGAGTTTCTTTTCCTTTCATTAGTTGATTAAAAATCTTTCTTTATAAATTTTAAATATTTAATCCTAGCATCCATAGTACATTACCATGCTTTTCGTTATATTCTATCTTTATCAAAAACTTGTGGTAAATTGTGATTATAAACTTTGAAAATATTCACAATACTTGCAAATACCGTCTTTTAGATGAAGGTGTTATCATTATACAAGTATATCATGAAGTGCTCTAAATCCCCCCATTCTTTTTTCTAGAAAGAATCATAGCAAAGACAAAACCGAGATTAAGGTGCTTGAAGATTAGTCTAATGCAGTCACAGCCCATGGGCTAAAACGAAAGCTTGCGAAATGGGAATGTCCTTCCCCTGGGCGTCTTAAGCGGCCTGCTTGTAGATGATAGAATGGACCCTTGCTGAAGTTCAGCTTCTCAGTATAAAGATTGTCGGAATAATTATTATTTTTAAATATTTTTATTTTAAAAATATATTAAAATAATTTTTAAATCAACATATAAAATTTCAAACCCGTTTCCAAACATCCTCTTCGTACTCTCTCTCTCTTTGGCAAATAGCACTCATCTGATAGGGTGGCCTATCGGCGCAGAAGTGAAATACATACACCGACTGTTATAGATCGCTTAATCTCAAAAATTGAAAAGAACAGTAATTATATTTTAAAACTGTTGTAATAGACTCGTTAAGACGACAATAGCAAACAGCCTCAGTGTTTAATTAGTTACAGAGACAATAGACCTAATCAGCAGTATTAATCCTCGTCATTACTTGGTACCTGGGAATTCAATGACTTAATTGAGAATTAATAACTAATCAATCGGGAGCCATTAGCCAACCAGGCAATTGAATTCCAAGGCTTGGAATTCTGCAAAACCCCGTCACCCCTAATAAGTAGTATTAACTCTCCGAAAAGATTTACATGGACACCTTGTTATTACCATGTCCGAATCCCCATGTTATTACCACATTTGAATCCCCAAATTAAGATATTGGCGGTTATAAATGGCAGTGGGCTTGCATAAAACTGATATCATGCATCACACAGCAAGATTGTCTTTTCAAGATTGGTGCCAAGATGCATACGTGATTGACCTTCCCCTCCCCTCATAGATAACTTTCCATTATTTGGGATTTATTAGGAAATGATTAGTTAATTGTAAGTTTAATAACGAACCCTCTAATCTCTCTCCCTGCTTCTGTCCAGGTGAGGAAGCTCAGGAGTTATATTCAGCTCTAATTCTCATCCATCAGATCAGTACGTGATCAACGGTTCTTAGGCCACATGGCATGTCACAGGGCTTAGTATAAGCAAAGTGACCACCTTTTGTTATGTGGTTTTCTTACAAGTAGACAAGTAAAGACCTCCAAAACCACCACTCCATAAGGCAAGCTCGTTTCTACGCCTAAAATCTTCTCACCTCTTCTTCTCAACTGATCAAGCTCCTTTGATGGAAGAAGGAGGAGGCGTTGGTGGCCGTCTTGGCAATCGAGATTTGCAAAACAATCGTCCCAACATCTATCCACCATTAACAGCCATAGATAGATTTTTATTTGGTCAGAGCCATTTCACACCCCACCAAAATATTCAAAACAATGATAAAAACAAAGAAACCACTGTTTCAAACAACGGGTCGTGTGTTTTTTATCCGCCTAGTGGTGCAATTGGTGCTGTTCCATGGCAGAGCATTCAAGAGACAAGCTTTGTTGATGGTGCAATTGGTGTTGGTGGAGATGACCTTCATTGGACATACGAGGGAAACCCTAATGGGGGTTTGAATGGAAAAGTGAGTGTTTCAGGGAAAAGTTCTAAAGGGATAGGGAAGAAAACCAAGAAAGGATCCTGTGCACCTTTGATCAAGGGGCAATGGACAGAAGAAGAAGATAGGTGATCAAAGAGACTTTGCTTGACATGTTTTTGAATGTTTCTTCTCCTTTTTTTCCTCTTATGTTAATGTTTAAATATGGTTTTAGTGAAACATTATGTTTTGTTTTGAAATGAAGGAAGCTAATTAGGTTGGTGAAGCAATTCGGAGTGAAAAAGTGGGCTCAAATCGCTGAAAAGCTGGATGGTAGAGCTGGAAAGCAGTGTCGTGAGAGATGGCACAACCATTTAAGGCCTGATATCAAGGTTTCTTCTCCTTTCACTTCCTCTAGGGTTCGTCAATTTAGTTTTATCTTCTGTTCATGTTGTGATGATCTCTAAAATAAAAGGTAAGACATTTTAGATCTTCTCAACTTTTCTGAGGATTTATTTTTATGAGGAGCTGTGATGGGGGTATCTAATAACGATCTTCGACTTAGATTCTCAGATTCTTCCTTCTCAATTTTCGGAAGTTCCCCTAGAAACTAAATATTGTCTAGATTCTCATCAAAGCTTGATAATGGTGTTGACAAGACAACCCAGATCACAGCCTTATCCGATTTGCCTTGCGATATATTCCTATTTTCCTTCGAAATTATTGCCGTGGCTAACATATAATAGAAAGCATAAATGTTTTTTGGTTACCTGTAAATTAATATTGCAATTTTATTTTATGAGAAAATATACATGCGAGTGCGCGCTCTCCAAGTTAATTTATTGCAGTGAAGAAACAAAGCGAGAAGGGTCCTGTGCCCTTTTCTTTTTTGGGTGGTGGGGGCATCTAAAAGTAACACTGTAACACAGTTATTGATGACAAGACAACAGATTCACTTAGCTCTTACTATGGTG